TAATTTAGAGAACTACCCATACACTCAAAGAAAGTTTCACTGAAACTTTCCGAACGGTGGAGGGCTTAGGGCTTATAATGATGCAAAAACTTGAAAGGCCCAGAATTGAAGATTTGATTAAGCTTCTCGTGATCACCTCGCTGTAGCCAGTCGATGAGTCGGCCACCCAGGTAAAGACCGTTTCTGGGACCACCAGCGTCTGGCTACGGATGAGCTTCCAAACAAGGGCTTGGTCCACCTGGGTCTGGTTCACGGAGGCAAGCATCAGCTTCGAGGCGGGTCGTCGCGAATCCTCCGGCCACTTATTTACGTCGTCGTTGGTCTGCAGAAGATACCACGTGCCATCCGATTCATTCAACTGCCGGACCTCTGGAGTGCCTGCCAAGTGGTCGTCACCGAGATCCTTAGTAATGACTGCGCCCTCATACTTGCCTTTGCCGGAGAGGATGAAGTACATGGGTGCCATCACCCTTGTGTTCGTGAGGCTCGTCAGGGCGCCCTGATATGTCGGGCTGGTTTCCATGATCTGTCTCACCCTCCAACCATAGAGATCTCCCTTCCTAGGTGCCCGAGAATTCCAGCTACACTGGGGAAGTTTAGGGTTTAGGGGTTTCGGGCTTCAGGGGTTCAGGCTTTAATGGTATGATATACTCGGCGCTATGAAGGAAACAACGAAGAATGAGTTTCCAGAAAAAAAGAGCCAAAGGTTGCTACTGCGCCCGGAGTTTCCCAGCCTTGAAAGCTTGAAGGCTTTTCGCCCGGTCTAGGGGATGACGCATGTTCTGCTCAAAGGTCCAGCCGTCCATGCGCATGCCCGTGTGGATGCCAACCCAGCCTAGGAATGATGGAGCCAGCATCAATACTTTGCCATCCTTCCAATATCTCGCCTAGGCTGTCTCTGCAAAGCCTCTGGCAACCATCAGCAACAGAAGACCCCTAAACCCGAAACCCTAATCAGCAACATAAGGCCCCCAAAACCCTAAACCTTAATCAAGAAACATGCAAAATGTCCCAAAGGCCCTACCTAGCAGCTGTGAAGGTGACATCTGGGAGGTCGAGGATTCGGCCGTCCGGCATCCTAAACCTGGGATCTCCGGTAGGCTTTGCATATGAGTAGTTCTCTAGATTAGGATCCCTTTGAGGATCCTTTTTTATAAGAGTGCCGTACTATATTTGGGGGCCCAAAAAGGGACCCCACTTTAGAGAACTACCCATATAACAAGGGCACCCCTTTTTTTCCCTCTCACATTGCTGAGGACGATGCTCACGGCGAGGCCTGCTCTGGAGAGATAGCATGCGAGTATACGTGCCCTTTTTAGGGTTTCGGGTTTAGGTATTCGGAAGTTTTTATAAGGAACCAAAGACCAGAACAAGGTAAAAAGGGCCGCCCACTGTGAGACCCTTAACCCGAAACCCTTATAGAACCCTTATAGCAAGCAGGCTTTGGGGGTTTAGGGCTTATAGGGGTTTTTAGAGCATTCTAGTAAGTGACTGGAAGACATAGTCCATGTTGCGTCCGTGGAAGACCCTTCCGTCTGAATCGGCCATCAAAAGGCCCGAGCAGCCGCCGATGCTCGTATCTGGAGCTCCGAGCCTTGGGGCTTGGCTTGGGTTTAGGGTTTAGGGTTTAGGGTTTAGGGTTTACCCATAGGCTCCCAAGTAGTTCCTTTTTGTGGTTGGTATTTAGAATCCTATAAGGTAATCCCAAGAAGGAACTACTAAGGAGCGGTTTAGGGGTTTAGGGGTTT